TCTCTCTCTCTCTCTCTCTCTCTCTCTCTCTCTCTCTCTCTCTCTCTCTCTCTCTCTCTCTCTCTCTCTCTCTCTCTCTCTCTCTCTCCATGAAAATGGTGCAGCTCCTCCTCCTCCTTCGTCATCAGTCTTCTCCTCCTTCCTCCCTCCTCTCTCGTTCGTCTTACTGCTCCTCCATCATCATTCTTCTCCTTTCCCCTCTCTCGTCTTTCCTCCATCCCTCCTCCTTCGTCATACTTCTCCCCCCTCCTCCTTCGTCATATTTCTCCCTCCTCCCTCCTCCCTCCTCATACTTCTCCGTCCTCCTTCGTCATACTTCTCCTACCTCTTCCACCGTCCACTTACCGACTCCTCCCTCGTCATACTTCTCCTCCGTCCTCCTTCGTCATACTTCTCCTCCCTCCTCCTCCGTCCACCTCCCGACTTCATCGTTCTTCTCCTTTCCCCTCTCTCATCTTTCCTCCATCCCTCCTCCTTCGCCATACTTCTCCTCCCTCCTCCCTCCTCCCTCCTCCCTCCTCATACTTCTCCTCCGTCCTCCTTCGTCATACTTCTCCTCCCTCCTCCTCCGTCCACCTCCCGACATCATCATCTGTCTCGTCCTCCATCCTCCCTCCTCCCTCGTCATACTTGTCCTCCTCCATCGCTTGTCGTCTTGCTTTTCATCCCTCTTCTCCTCCGCGATCTTCCCGCTTCGTCCTACTTTGTCATCGGTCATGGCAACGGCGACTACGATCATCCCGGCCCGTCCTACTTCGTTATCGGTCTCCTCCTCCTTCGTCATACTCCTCCCTCCTCCTTCGTCATACTCCTCCCTCCTCCCTCCTCCCTCCTCCCTCACCATTCTTCTCCTCCCTCCTCCTTCGTCATACTTCTCCCTCCTCCCTCCTCCCTCCACCTCCATCCCTCCTCCCTCCTCCTCCGCCCCTCCTCCCTCCTCGCTCGTCATACTTCTCCTCCCTCCTCCTTCGTCACACTTCTCCTTAGTGATACTTCTCCCTCCCTCCCTAGTCCCTCCTTTTTTCTTTATTTGTTCGATTCGGTTTTCCCTTGGCATCCCTCATCATCGCCATCCTCGTCTACCTCCCTACTTCGTCATTGGTCTCCTCCTCCCTCCTCCCTCCTCCCTCCTCCCTCCTCCATCACTTATCGTCTTGCTTTTCATCGATCTTCTCCACCACAACGGCAAGTACAATCTTCCCGCTCCT